GGGGGGGGCATGAAAGCAAAAGGATGGAAGGAGTTAGGGGAACGAGGCACACTGCCTTCCCCTGTCTGGAACATCGTCGATTGTTCTTCCGTTCTTTCTCCATTCTTAATCTTGCCAGATTTTCTTACATAATATCATGTCTCTCTTATGGCAATTCCTCATATACATTTGGCAAAATGTGATCATAGAGGGCCAGCCGTTCAAATTAACGCCCTGTATGGGCTCAGTCAATGGGTGGGCCAAGAGAATGGGGGCAAAACTACCTTGGACATTGTTCAGGGAAAGTAGAGTTTGCTCAACCAAACCAACCGCATTGGCAGACTCAGTTTTCAAGACGTTCAGCACATTGATTGCACATCTGAGGCGCTTTGTCAGATCTTCAATTTGCCGGTCTTGGTCATGGATGGTCTTCTGGAGGCTTAGATTCTCTTCCTTGAGGCCCCTAATATCTGCTTGGGTCTCGCTGGCAGGCTCTTCCACTTTGCGTCCACATAGTGATTCCTCCCATTCAAGTTGTTTGATTTGTTCATGAGTCTCGGGGTAAATCAATTCTGTCCCATCTTGAAAAGGGCTAAAAAGGTGAGAATGAGAGTGAGTACAGCGTAAGAGCACTTACATGTCAGATTTCCCCAGAAGCGGTGACGATGTAGGTACCACAAGCATTCCTGGTACCTCTTCGTACCCTTCGTACCCTTCGTACCATCCATGAACAGCTGCTTGAATGCCATGTTCTCGATGAATAGGTGTGTGTCGGTTTATCTCATGAGGATTGAAGAACTCATTGTCAGAGGGAGGATGGCTGGCCATGACGAAATGGCAAACCAAAAAAATTCCCGTTGCAGTGTCGTGGTTGAAGTTCACCCTGAGATTTCCAAAAGAATCAGATATCAAATTGGGAAGGTGGAAAAGGATACAGAGAGCAACAAATGAATGACAAACAAGAAAACACGAAGATTCTACTTCCTTCCCAAGACCGGCGGCTCCCAATTTCTGCCATATTCTTTTATATCAACCCACCGCGCACTTCCATCTGTCTCAAACCTGTCCCTGTCCTCGCTCCTTGTTTGCTGGAAGCAACCGCGAGGGAAAGGGAAGGAAGCACGATCATCATCGAATGGCCTCCAGGGTCGTACATTCCAAGTTGAGAGGTTGCCTTCAGCGCGGCAGCAGATAATTGTACAACCACCCCAGTCTCGGTCTAGACGTACTTCGATTGAATCATCATAGGCATGATTCAGGTAAATAGTCATGAGTCTTGGGTGATTGTTCGCCCACATCTCTATCCAAGGACAGCTGTGTTCTGACAGCTGTGTGTAGAGTGCGAGAGGTGTGTCAATTGACACCATCCGAAGTTGAGGGAGCTTTCGGATGCAGTCGGTCCAGGCTGAGCCCTTCCAGGGAGAGTCGTCTGGTACTTCAAACCCATCCGGGTTGTTTTCCTATAAGCGATGGGACAATGATATTATTTGCTGCGGCATCAAAGANACGCACTGAACCCCCATTGCTGAGTACTTCCAGGCCTCTTTGACTCTGACCTACAGCTTCTTCAGCATCCGAGTCGTCCCCTGACTCAGCGGCAGACGACTCAGCAGACGACTCATCCTCACCCCAACCCTGCAAGTAATTGATTAACTGTTCAATGGGTAGGGAGGAAGAATACACGCACTGAGCTCCAGTCGTACTTGACGCGAAGCACTTGCAAATCCTTCAAGGCAGGCGTCCAGGATAACAGTATCAGAAACATGTGATCATAGGGTAGGGTGAGGTCCGTCAAGCAAATGTTTAATTCACGAATCTTCACACTGTTGAAGATCTTCAGACAAGCCATTTGCTCTGCCTTTCTGGTGGGCACCAAGAGCTCGATAAGCTCGAGGTCGGCAAATGTAATCTGAGTTAGAGAATATGGGAAGACCGCAGAGAAACTTGCAGCAAGCTTGAGGAGTTGGTTTATTTGTTTTCCAGTGAAGAGTTGTACGTCCGTTGGCCGTCAGATAGTCCGCCTTGCATGTGGGCAGCAAAGGACCAAGAAGTCCAGCTTGCGATGAGTGGCTGCACGCCGGCTTGCAATTTGGAAAATCTTATCAATCAGCTCAAGAGGTACTAGATAGGATGCTGTTTAAGTGACATTGTAAAGGAAGAAGGGCCACAAGACTTACGCGTTGGACCCACTGCCGCAATGAGAGCCATTAATTGAATGCAGTCAGAAAACAAGCCGCAAATCCTAGCAAATCATTGACGGTGCAGTATTATATAATACGCAGCTATTTGTTACAGTTTTTCTAAAATACCTTTACCGCTACCTACCGTCTCTGTGTACCAAGAGCTTGCAGCCCTGCTCTCTCTTCAGTTCCTGATACTCCTGTTCTCAACACCGCTGGCTGTTTCTGTCACGTTCGTCTCTCCAAGGTGAGTGAGGAATAATGATATTCACCTTCTCGATCTTCTTCAAACCAGTGACGCATGCTGGTGTAGGCCTTGAGGATACCTTCGTGCAGCTGGCCAATTCTGGACAAAAGGTAGGTGGGACGTGCCCTCGTAGAACCATTGGGGAAAGAGTGAGAAATCGTGCATGAGGAAATCGACAAGATCGTAGTCGAGCTTAACAAAAGCCCTTATTCAGTATGCAGATCGGGGAATAAAGGTTCAAGGACGGATACTTACAGGGTTGGGCTCGATGGCACCGCTTGCCTCAAGACATTCATCGTCGTCTCAAAGTACGGCTCGAAGGCAGGTTGCAGATACAACCATGCGTCCAGGCGGTGGTATCTTTGACATGCACATTCGTGTCCGTCATCATGTCAATGAGAAGGGGTAGAGCCTGGTTGACGAGCGGAGTGAGGACCGCAGGGTCAGGGCCTTCGAGGATTGAGCCAAAGGTCATCACGGCAGCCTCGCGTTGATGCCAATCGCTGGACTTGATGTGCACCTTGATGAAGGGGATAACAGCGGGAACGATGGCATCCTGCACAGTGCTGGCGAGCAAGCTGAGGCAGGTATGAGCAGCCATAGATACATTCTATTCGTCCTCTTCAGCATCCTCTTCTTGTTGAGTGAGGAGTTGGAGGAGGACGGGCATGTTCTCAGGAAGGGCGATCTCGGCAAAAACTACAGGTATGTCCCCGTATTCAGCAGCCTGGGCTTTGAGTTAGAGTGTGTCGAGAGGAAGATCTGTCTTGCTCACCTCTTGGGCCTCGAGAGCAAGATCAACCTCTTCCTCGCAAACAGTCGACCAGAATTCTACAGCTTGAAGTGCAACACCGTGACACTCATCAGGATGTTTCATGCCAACAACCGTCAACTGGAGGGACGGATCAGCAATAATCTTGAGTAGGGCAGGAGAAGATGGACATACACCGAATAATGCTTGTTCCATATTTCGCCTTGGAGCCCAGGTGGGGCTTTCACCTTGCGCGAAAACGTGGCTGTTTTGCATGGTGATTTTTTGGAATATTCCAGGCAATACCTCTGGAAGCTTAGGTCAGTGGGCATCTCTCGAGAACGGGCCAGAGTGCTTACCACGTTTGTCATGTTTCGTTCAGACGATGTCGGCCAGTAGTGGGACGTTCAAAGGTCGGTCGTACGGTGTTGTACATGTTTGCACCCGCTGATGTACTCGCCCTATAGCACAGCATGCTCAACATCAGTTGCGACGACAAAGGAGGGAACTGAGGGGCTTACGGTGAATACGAACCACACGAATCGGGCAATACCTTCATGATCCATTTCTGGAAACCCAGCATCATCGTTGGCCACGGTGTCGAGAAGAACATGCAGGGAACTCACCTCGCACTGTTTATTGACCAACGTTCTGGCCTTCAAGAACATTCTCCATCGTCGTGGGCAGCAGCGAACGATCTTAGTCCAAGAAGACGAGCTGCGAGGCGGGAGGAATCACCTACAAGAGCGGAAAGGTCGTGGGCGGTGTTCTGGGATGTCCAAAGGTGTGTTGGCGCTGCGAATCTTCGTGTCCACGGCCACCGACGTAGTCATCCTAGAACACAGAAACCTCGCTGTTAGCTGCAGGGAACGAACAGAGACCGACTAACATGCAAGGAACCCACCTCGCATTGTTTATTGACCAACGTTCTGGCCTTCGCAAACACTCTCCGTCGTCGTGGCACGGGGCAGGGATGGAAGGGCGGCGGCATTGAACGTTCTGGGTTCAAGAAGACACGGGAGGAGGCACCTACGAGGGCGGACAGGTCGTGGGCGGCGTTCTGGGATGCACAAAGGTGTGTTGTCGTGCGAATCTTCATATCCGCGCCCGCTGATGGAGTCGTCCTAGAACACAGAAATCTCGCCGTTAGCTGCAGGGAATGAACAGAGACCGACTAACATGCAAGGAACTCACCTCACATTGTTTATTGACCAACGTTCTGGCCTTCGAGAACACTCTCCGTCGTCGTGGCATTGGGCAGGGTGGAAGGGCGGCAGCGAACATTCTGGGCTCAAAAAGATGGGCTGCGAGAAGGGAGGAGGCACCTACGAGGAAAGACAGGTCGTGGGCGGCGTTCTGGGATGCACAAAGGTGTGTTGTCATGTGAATCTTCGTGTCCGCGCCCGCTGATGGAGTTGTCCTAGAGCACAAAAACCTCGACGTTAGCTGCGACATCCGAGTAGGGAACGAACAGAGAGAGACTTACTTTAAGTCCGACCACGTGGATCGCTAGGTCAGTGGGCAGTGTTCAAGGACGAGCAGGAAAACTTACACACCTGTTCAATAGCCCCTTCCTCGTTCAGCAGCGTGTTGGACCTTGAAGACGTGGGTGGGTGTCTGGGTGTTGGGTCCGAGGCGCTGTGTCGAGGGCGGGTGGCCGTCGAAGACGGGGCATCGAGGGCGGCCTTCCAGCTCGTTGTCAGCGTAGAAATGAAGGCTAGAGACGAGGTACGTACGTACAACCCTTAACCTAGGCACCCGCTCTGTCTAAGCAACATAGTTGGATAGACGCTTCCGCAGCCTCGGACAACCTCCCCTCATCTTCCTCTTCCCTAGCTCAACGTCAGAAGATTGTAATACCCATCGAAGCGCGTCTCAAGGGGAAGGGGCTGGCGGATACATTCTGGATCTGTCGTCTACGGGAGAGGGCGGGGTCCAAGGTATGAACCTTCCCTCCTCTCATTCTCGTCTGCTCACTTCTCCATCTAGACCACTCTCACGTAAGCCGGGCGGTAATTACACATAGAAGGGATCGACAAACAGCACCCTCCGCTTATTCGCTCCCACACCCTTGTTGCAAATAACCTCTTTTGTCATGTCTGTTTGCCGTGTGCTTTCCTATGATCGCGAGATGCATGAGGATAAGGCACTAGTTGAGGGCGGAGAAGGATGGACATACTCGGGTGGTCAGCGCATTTTTGAGCAAGA